TGATATATTACGAGAGAATTTTCTTTCCTCAATTGTTGTTAAACCCAGCACAAGTGGCAACCCATCTGTCCAAATGGTTCCCACAGCATTAAGTAATATAGCTCATTGAAGAAGGTGATAGGATACCATTCTGGAAGTTTCCTGTTTTGCAGAATAGGTCTTGCCATTCATCGATTTGGGATTCCCAAATCCTGTGGTCAATGATAGCATCATGCACTAGACTTGCAGCTGCACCTCCATCAGTGCCATAAATTTTGGTATAACGTCGATGATAAGATTTTCCACTCGGAAAACTTATTTCTAGGCATGGTCATGCCAAAGCAAACGTAACAATGCGGACAACTCAGGTAGGAATAGTCAATAAAGCTACTACAGCTGCCCCAATAGATGAATCTGATTCTGAATAAATTGGATTTTCTGTGAAACCAATGTGGTCAAAGGTCCCATGCTGAATTTCATCCTATGAATCTTCCGGCAGTTCGATGCCAACTTTGTCATTTGAGAACTCTGTATTAGTTGCATCCGTGTCTCAACTTTAAACATTTTCATCTTCAAAAATACCCATACTAGTAGAAACCAAAGGTGCTTCCACTGGTTTTCTTTCATTCTTAGATGTTGGCTTGATTTCAATGTCTTTCTCATCTTCATTTTTTTATTCTGAAAAACTCGGGTTCTTGAGATGTGGATGTCTTGGTAGAATCACTTTGCACAAGATTTAGGTTTTGATCAACACCATCAGTTTGGCTTTGCAATTTTATTTATTTGTCCTCTTCATTCGCATCTTTCTCCTTATCGACCAGTTTATCCTCGAAAGGAGCTTGTGTATCAATTATTGAACTCTCACTCTTCTTCTCCTCAATCATTCTCATCTTCAAATTTCTCACCGTATGATCACCACCGCCTCAGTAGCTTTCTTCCTCCTCCAGTGTAGCGGTTGTTGTGATCCCTACATGTTTCCCCTATGTATCGGGGGTGGGAATCTCACCTTTCTTCCACCCTCCTTACATGAACTGATCCCCGTAGCGCAACTCGACCCCCTCCATCTCCGGTCACCCACTCCTCTAGCCCGAAATGACTCCCATAGTGGTCGGTCAAACCATCACCTCCACCACAAAATTCCCTCGTTACTGTCCCCCATCTGTAAACCATGATCTGCCTCATATCGGAGCCCTAGGAGGTGGATCTTGAAGATAGAAGCTCGTTGAACTACTCCCGTCCAATCTCCTATCCCTTAGATTTAGCCAAGGGAATCTCGGTCAAATTTTGGTTAGGGTTAGCAATCAAAACTGCTAGTGGAGTTTTGGATTATATCTCCATGAGCTTCTTCATCATCTCCTCCAACCCTCCAAATCGGCTCTTCATTCGGTTTTCCATGGCGGAAAATCTTCCTTCGATGGTTGAGAACTTCTCCACCATCCGAGATTTCCTTTTCTCCACTTCGCCTTCCAACGTATCCACCTTCTATGCTGCCATCTCTCCAAAATCTCACTCTGATACCAATTTAATGCATCTTGGAAGTAAAAATAGCAAGTATATAGGAAGAAAAATGAAGGAACCAAATATTAGGGCTGGTTTTTTATTATCTCTTCAACAAATAATGAAATATACAATTGATCTACTATTCGAGAGGTAGATCAGCTCTCCCACAAACCCACAACTTTGAGGAAATGCACGCAAATCGAGGAAAAAAAGATATGTGGAATTCTACTGCTTGATGATAAGAATACTAATACAATATTATTACTTTTATCATCATTATCTCTTCAACAAATAATGAAATATACAAAAAAAAAACTCAAATCAATGCTTAATAGCCTTGTATCGTCGAAATCTGATGAAATACCGGCTACTCTATGCAAATCTCCAGTGAATTCTGCTGAAATCCCGATGCTGAGAAACCTCGGATAGATGTTGCTCGCCTCGTTTGAATGCAAAGCCTCGTCGTTAAAATGAAGCTGACGAAGCCTTCACTTGTTTTTTTCTTCTAAAAAAATATCGTAGCTCTCTCGATCCCTCATAGCAAACTGCCTGCAACGTCACTTGTCGCAGCTCCTCACACGCCTCCTTCAACTTCCAAACTCCCTCCTCCTGATTCTTTCACAACCGGAACTCCACAAGCTTGATTCTTGCACTCCCTTCGACCAAGCCGTTCGATTGATGTTTTGTCCCGACCCCAGTCGCAACCTCCACTCCAACCACCATCCTCCTCCTCTGATATAGCCGGATTAGCTCAGCCTATTGAACGATCCAACTCCTACAAGCATATCACAAGGTCAACTTCACATAGCCAACCCCAAACCACAGGCTTCTCCATGCCAAATCCTTGTACTCATCCCCTGTTCACAAATCTACCAGACCACCTCGCTTCAATCCTCTGCAAACCGTCCAAACCAAGGTCGATCCCTGTCTCTTGCTCTCAGCTATACAAAAAAAGGGCCAATCCCTCACATCCTAGTCCTGCAGACGGACCTCACATGTGAACCCTACTCAATTTCTTGTCACTTCTCAGCCTGTTGTTCAAAGTCCCAAATAGCAAATCCTCCACTCAAATATCCCCATTTCAGACAATCCATTAGCCCACATAAACCCTCCCTACACTCCAAACAGCATATTAGTTCGTCAAAATAACATCCAGCCCACTTTACCGTAAGCTTCAATTCATTTCCACTTCAGTTCAAAAGCCCAAGTTAGAATGTTGAGTGAAGCTCATTGCACTAGGAGAAGTGATCAAAGGAGTTTGTTAAACATCAGAGGATATTTAGAGTTTGATTGAAGGTAGATGATGTATATGATCAGTTGAGCTAGCTCAATTAGGTCAGATGAATCAATTGGTGATTGTAGGTTTTCAATGATGATTGTATATTTGATATTTGTAGATGTGTATAATCATTGATTGATTGCAGGCTGAATGTTAAAGTTTGATTAAATGTTGAGTGTGTGATTGATTGATTGAATTATTGACTAAAAGTTGGAGAGTGAAGGAAGCATTGAATATATTTAAATTTAAATTGTAGAGTGGATATTTGATTGAATGTATGATTGGATGCCGGAAGTATTGATTGTTGATTGAATAATTAATAGGTGGATCTATAGTTAATAGAGTCCTGAATGATTGACAGTTGGGTGATTGTCAATCACTAAATGTATATTCAGAAATTGGGGTAGTATATGATGACCTCATCCAAAAATAAGGTCAACACCAAGATATTCCACTATGTGTCAAACCTAAAAGAGAATAAAATAGCATCCTTAATCGAGAGTATTCTTAGATTGAGACCTAAGATATAATTAATCACGGTGACTTGTGCCCATGAGAAATCGACACTCACAGCAAATAAACCTCATATAAGTTGATGTATCAAATAAGGGAAATCCCGCGACCATCGAATTATGCATATTATTATTTATCAAGATGTGTAGGCTAAAGCCGCTATATCTATGGAAAATCATATGTATAATTCCATTTGCATTCACATCGGCCTGCTTGCATAAAGTATAAAGGTCAGCGGCCATTTTATCCTACAAGATAGTGCGATCCCACCCTTTGCATTCTAAAAACCACAAGCAACATCCTTTCGGAGACCCACATGGGCATCCTCTAATTGCATGTGTCTTCTTCCCCAATTGATTTTAGGAGCTTAGGCAAGCTCAAAGTTTCCTATTTATCACTACACTTCCCTAATTTCTCTAATCTATTACATTTTACTACTTTGATATATAACAAAGGTAATCTCATTGGGCCTCACCATGCCGTGTCCATCTCCATCTTTATCTGCATCTACAAAATCCACACTTTTGCCATATTTCATGGTCTTGTCTTCATGCTCCACATCCATCTCACTTAGCGTTGCCAGATTTCCTCTTCACCGCTTCACCAAATCTTTTCTTCCCAAACCCCTTCCTCCTTTGATGCCCAACTACAAGCAGCTATCACATCTCTTCGCCTAATTCGCTTATGTCATTCAGATATATGCAAAATCTAACCACCACCTCCATCAACACCACAAACCTCCAACCCCAATGGATCAAGGGTCAAATCTTGCAACTAAATATTCTTCCTCCTAAATACCATGTCTACTAGCCCCCGTTGCTTTATGAACTCCACTACCCGCTTTTCAATTAATGAACTCCACCTATTCCAACTCCTACTTGCAGAATCATTACATCGATGCCATATCCCAACTCATCATCGCACAATCTATCCGCCTCCGCTCAGCTCATGCCGTTTCAACCAATTTCACCAATTTTTTGGGTATTTTCTCGACCTTGAGGGAAAGGTTGTTGTGAAGGGATGAACTCTATTAGAGAATAAACATGATGGTTAAATTACGATGAGTTAATGAGTCACTATGGGTCTTAGGTAATTAGGCTTATAAAGTTGCAGTCAATTGTTTTAATTGGTCATTTGAGTCCTTGTGATCTATAAAACTCCCCCCTTGGGAAAATTAGGAGAAGCAAGATGAATGAATAAATGAGCTTTGGCTCCCATCTTTCTCCCCCATTAATACCATGGACATCCTCTAATTTTCAGACTCTTCTTTACCAATTGATTTCTACATTTCTAGTCAATCTCTAAGTTGCCTATTTATCCCTACAGTCCCTTAATGTCTCTGATTTCCTACATTTTATTGCTTTGGCGTATAACAATCATGCATTAAACCGTCAATGAATCAATCAAATATCAAAGAAAAAAAATATATTTAATCAACAGTGCAACCAGAAGTGCCACTTAAGCTATGGCAATTCTAACCACTCAATATTAGCATGCCAAAAGCTGAAATATAGGCGCATACATTGCATCTTTTATCTACCTTTCTAGATCAGCATACATAGATTATTTACAGTCTATAGTAATTCGACCCATGTTCAGCTTAACAACAAATTAACAATCCTAAAGTACAAAATAAAATCAATAAAAAGAGGTAAGGACAAATTAGAATGAAGACTGAAAAGAAACAAGTTCAATTTTAAGTAAAGCAGTCATAAGCAGTGACTCGCACCAGATATGTCAGAAACTGAGCGTAAACAAGAACACTAAACCAGACAGGTTTTTAATATCCTTGAAGCAATTCCAAAATGCAATGATACAGACTTGTGAACGCCAACTTAAAAAATGGATGCTGAAAAAACTTATAGTTAAAAATAGAAACACGAAAGTAAGACGGCCCAGAAGAATGTTCAAGATACCCTGGTCAGCAAGAAACTCCAGTAATCGGGAAACCCTAGCTATAAAGAAACCCTGGCGAGGGAACGCTAGTGATAAGAACCATTCCGAAGGGCTTTGGCTAGTTTTTTAACATATTTTCGTCCACGATAGCAAGCGTAGTAAAACAGGCATTTTCAAAGTTAACGATGGCGAAGACGAGCCACCTAGCTTACAAAAGCATGCATGGACGACGATAGAGAAATAAAAGAAGACAATAACTTAGGGCATCTACAATGAAGAACTTTATTTTTCACGATAAAATACAACAAAATTCTAAAATGACTTGATGCTGTTCCAATCTAATTTCATTTTAAGTGCTTCTGTCAAGTAAAGATCCTTCTCCCTTTCCCGCCTTTTTTCGATTGAGAGAGCAAAATAGGGTATGTGAACAGTGGCCAATATTGACGTGACGTCGCACTATTCACCCGCAAGTAAATGGCGAAAGATTCGACCTTCTGCTGGAGTCGAACGACACCATAGGCACGTTTGGCCTTCGGTTGGAGATGCTCTTACCGACCCAAAAGAAAAAAAAAAACAAAGGGAAAGAGAAATTATTCTGTGCGTAAAAAATTTTAAAAAAAAATCATTCGTATATATATTTATATAAAATGTGTATTAAATTAGTTTTTACTTATTGTTCAGACGATTCTTTCAGTCTAGACTCCGCATATAATACTTTTTATGAGCGAAAGGGGGTGAAATAATTAAAGTATATTGTAATGATTTGCATATATTAATATATACAAACATACGGCACTTAAAAATTAGAATATGTATATTTATAAAATTAATTTTATTTTTTATATTATATAATACAACATTAACTCTACTAAAAAAATTCTAACAATGAAAAAAAATATTCCACCACTAGATCTCACAGGATATGATGGAAAAAGTTGCAATAGAATCTAGCCAAGAGGGAGATTTGAGATTACTGGGATTCTTTCCACTCATGCATCTCATTAATCTCAAATCTATTTTTATAAATCTCATGCAAATATACTCCCATTCACATCTCTCTCCCTCTCTAAGGTTTTGTTTGGCACAGCATTTTTATTTCTTTTCAAATCAATATTTTTGTGCAAAATTAGTTTGTTAAAAAAAATTGTACTAAAAAATAATTTTAAATAACTGTAAGAAAACTATAACATTTGAAGGGCAACCGAGACTATTAGCATGGTGACAGGTGGCAAGATGTTACTGGGAGATATTACTTTTGATGTTCTGAAAACTACATATGTAAATAGTAAAGTTTAAATGCTAAATATATAAATCTTAATATTGGGCATTTTATATAATATTTTTGGCAACATTTTTAAAGAATCATTTTTAATAATTAAAATAAATAAAGATCATATCACCTCTTAACCAGATTCCATTTTTTTGAACTATCAGGCAAATTAAATTTGAAAAGCCACAAACATACCCTTCTATGTTAGGTCTCGAACTCAAAACTTTGTAATAGAAGGTTTGAAGCCAAATCACACAATTGCTAGACCAAGGTTATATTATACATTTTTACAAATGAATGATGGTCATTCTTTTTAAATTAAAAGAATGAAAGTTTGGGCAAGGGACACTTAGAATGCTAAGATGCCCAATAATTGAGGAATCAACATATTGCATTATAGGGAACAATCAGGGGTGGAACTGTCTAGTGGTCAGTACCTAAAAATATAAAAACTCTTAGTATAATAAGGGTTATTTGTAATTTGTCCTCATGATTTTTTTTTGCTCTCAGCCGACCTTTTTTTTTCACGTAATTTGCCCATTCAAAAATCGGAAAGCCTCTTAACCTCCCACTATTTTCATCTAATTATGTTGAACTTTTCTAACACTAACAAGTAGTCTATGAAAAATGATTATGTGCAAATTAAATTATTGTTGCACCCTTATATTTATTTTTTATTTTTTTATATATTTGCCACTTGCCCCATCCCCGGACCAATTATTACAATTTTAAAGATTCTCAAAAATGAATTATCTTCTTCTCCCACCTCTAGTCCAAAATTTCCCATGAGAAGCAACCGTAAGAGGTCTATCACGAGCCATTTTAAACTCATTTCCAGGATCTGAATATGACTCAGAATCAGATTCATATTCAAACGAATTATGCAACCAATCACCATGGGGCTTAACATCCAATCCGAAAATACCTCCCACATGGTACATCATAGTTTGGGATGCCATTAAGATTACATGTACATTAACCAAAATTTGAGAATTGACCAACAAGCCTTCCACATCCGAATTTACCACCTGTCCACACACATTTGTATCCACATTCATAGCACTATTCTAAAGCTGAACAGAATCACCCACAACACCTAAAACAGGCGAATCACCATCAACCAACCCACCAGGCCCCCTACCACACGCAGCAGAGACAGGCGCAACAATAACAGGAGTAGAAACCAAAATCTCAGTACAAATCGGCACCAGATCAACAGCCGGCAAAGCCTCAATCACAACCGTATGACCAAAATCGTCCACCACACACGAGGGAATAAAAGGAGTAGCATTAGGTGACAACACAGTATCAGCAACATCTAAAATATTGACACCAGCATCTAGCACAACATTATCCTCCCTAGATAGAACAGGGGCATTCAAATCTGGCTTCCCTCCAGGGGATAAAACAGTAGCAGCACCCATAAGATCCACATTATTGTCACAGTAATGAGCTAACGGCAAGACAACAGTCAAAGACCCATCAATCCCAATAGTAACTTGCTCAGCAGGATCACACAATTCATCAGTTGAAGGCACAACCGAAAGGCCCTCCCCACCAGTAAGCAAAGGTTCACTAGAAACGGTATAGTGGTCAGTACCTAAAAACATAAAAAAGTCTTAGTATAATAAGGGTTATTTGTAATTTGTCCTCATGATTTTTTTTTTTTTTTTTGCTCTCAGCCGACCTTTTTTTTTTCACGTAATTTGCCCATTCAAAAATAGGAAAGCCTCTTAACCTCCCACTATTTTCATCTAATTATGTTAAATTTTTCTAACACTAACAAGTAGTCTGTGAAAAATGATTATGTACAAATTAAATTATTTTTGCACATTTATATTTATTTTTATTATATATATTTTTTCCACTTGCCCCACCCCCGGACCAATTATTACAATTTTAAAGATTCTCAATAACAAAAACTCATGAACCAGTGTTTCTCATTTAATTTCTTAATGCTTTATTATTCTGCAAAGGAGGGATATATGAGGATATATTAGCCAATTAAACATTCAAAGGTACATAAGGACTATTAAGTAATATATTATATTTATCAAACCATACAACATATACCTAATACTAAATAGGAATTATGCAAAATATACCCCAATTTTAAGAACAAATTAGAAAATATTAATTAACGGTTCATATAAAAACACGTGACACAATATTTATCACTGACATGTTTTTTGGCTTTTCTATAGAGCTACAAAAAGTTATGTCCTTACTTATAGTGGAGATAATCATTCAAGTTTAAGTAATAAGGAATTATCTTCTTTTCCTGATTCGATTAGATGGCTGAATATCACTCACCAAATGCTTGTTTTTATGTCGGAAAGATGAGTAGACAATGAAGGATGGTGAAATCATACTAAAGTAGACATGAAGGCAAATGCATGCATGCATGGCCGACTTAACATGGAAGATGCCTTCATTTCATCAAATAGTCTCCTTCGGGCATTATTATATTTAATTAAATAACTATAATGATTTATAAAAGTGATTATAAAACTATTGTGTAAAAAGTAGTTTTTTTTTAAAGCAATTTTCTAGCCCAAACAATACGTGAAAACAACGAAAAATTAATGGCCAAACAGAGACCAAATATATTTGAGGTTTGAAGATCAAGGGAGTGCAAAAACTGTCCCAAACTAAATTTTACTCTTCCGTTCGATCATACCAAGAAGCAGGGGCGGAGAGAGAGGGGAAGAGTTCCCAAACAGAGCTTCCTCTGATTTTGACGATTAGGAGGTAATAATGCTATGACTTTATAATATGGGTCAGGAAAAGAGTTCTTTTTATTGAAAAACTATAAGTAAATCGAATTTATTTGGTGTCATTATTGTAACAATCTTAGACTTTTAATTAGATTTTTTTATTTTTTATTTTTATATTTTGGGTTTATTTCTGAATATAAAAATAAGCTCAAGCAAGATTAAAGTTATCCCCCCCCCCAAGTAAAAAAATTATGTTTACGCCACTATAAAGAAGTAGTAAAGAGAGCTCATGAGCAAACCTTCTTTAAGCGACAAACCTAAAATGAATTTGGTAATTAAATTGGAACCTAACCAAACAAGATATACTTCTTTGAGATGGATAGGAGCTTTATTTCATGCATGATTTGCATCATGCAAAATTTGTTTCCAAATCTTTTGTGTTGTGTAATATTCACACAATTTATTTATTTTACAATTTATCTAAAAATATATAAATTAAATAATATATCTTCATTAGATTGTGTCATTAAAGTTAAACACTTCATAAACTTTTTAGCAAATTATTTTTATTGGAACAACATTATAATAAGGAAATTTCTTTGTTAGCCTTTTGATTTCACAGCTCTGAGCCTAAGTTTGTTAGCTTCTTCTCCACTTGATTTTCATGCTTCATGTTTGTATTATTTTAAATCATTAAGTATGAACAACTATTGCAATTAGAGATAGAAAATCAAAGATGAGCAAAAAGCTCTATGATATGATAGAATTGGAATAGGGAAAAACAATCTAACTTTCATAAGCTATTTATTTGTTAATCTTATTATTTAATAATGAAAATACTTATGGCATACCAAGAGAGAGGGGGAGTGAATTGATAGTTTTAAATAGTTTTTGGTATTCTCTAAAAATCTTTCTTTCAAAAATAGAAATAAAATTAAAATATAATATGCATAAACATTTGAGAAAACGAAGCACTCAAACTAAACTCAAAAGCAAATACGGTTTTTTGCTTTTTTAAAACTTTTTCATAAAACAAATATTTTATTTTTCTTTTTTTTTTAATTTTAAATAAAAAACTTCAACTAGATATTTTGTCACAACCCAACCTGACCAGAACAGGTTCTATCGTGTTAAGCTGTGACAAACAATCCCTGAGATCTATCTAGTTTTGAAATTATCTCAGATTTTTTGTCGATATTCATTGAAATAAATTGCATACTACATATCTACTAAAATATTCGAATACTGAAAAACTCATT